GGCAAAACTCGCCACCGAATAGAAAGCCGAGCACAAGCGTGTCCCGAACAAAAGACTTAGGCAAATTTGCCAACAAAGTCACTGCCACACACGGGCAGGACTCGGGGCCATAACTTAGGCAAATTCTATCGCAAATATCAAAACATAAATGCGGGCAAATGATTAAAGTCAAAACAAACATTCATTCAAAAAGCTCGTGAGCAACAAATAGAAGTAAACTGACTAAAAAGGCCAGTGATGTTCGGCAAATACAAGAACGGGCAGCAGGCCCCAAAATCAAATACAATGCACGGGCACGCAGGCCCCCAAAACAACCATCAATAAAAAAGGCGCACAGGCCCGACTAAGATCTCACAGCTAGACTTCCCCGGGGCTATCACTGTCGACAACAGGAGACTCGGGCGGAGGCACGACCTGGCCGTCGATAATCTGAGACATGTAGCCCACTCCTTCAGTATTCAGATCGGGGTTCAACAGAGCGAGCTGGCTAACCGCGGCTTTAAAGCCATCCGCCAAAGCACCAACACAGTCCGCCTCGAGGAGCTGAATACGAGCAACCAGTTCTTCCCGAGTCCTCAAAGGAGTTGTCTCCTCCGACTCATCCTCGGCAGGAAGCATGGCGGCCTTTAGTTCCTCGTCCTCTTTGACGAGGCGCCCGTTGTCAGTTTCCAAGCGTTCTCGGTCCTCACAGAAGTACTCCCTCTCCTCGGCAATCTTCCCTGAGTTCTCTTTCTCTGCGGCCAGCAGCTCGGCTTGCTCGCGGAACATCTCCTCGGAGTGCTCCATGGAATCCTTCAACATTCTTGAGCTTGCAGTAAGAGAAGCCTTCTATTGTTCCAGCTCCTTAATGCAATCAGAATCTGCCCCCTCCTCGGCCAGGACAACGACCATCTCAGCCATTTTTACCATCCCGACCATGTTGGCGGCCATATGCTTTCTCCGATTCTCCTTGCTCAGCCGCCTGATGGTATCAGCTTCGCCAGCGCTTACGGACAAGGGAAATCCCTCGAAGAAACCCTCCTCTTTAAAACAGGGGGGCAACCCGAAGGACCTCACCGCACCAGAGTCCTCACCGACCTCCGGTTGGCTCTCCACCCGGTTCCTCTTCCTCGGTATCAGGTCAGTATGTGGCTCCACATCCTGAGCGTCCGGAGACCCTCCAGAAGCATCACCCGGGATGGTTGGCGGGCCCATCCTCGTCGCCTGAGGAGCTCGCACCACTCTCTTATTGACTTTCTTATCCTGTGTTAGCTTCAGGAGCCTCTCCTTTCATCCGGCCATGAGACCTGCATAAAAGAATCCCGGGTTAGTGACGAGCAAATAACAAGCGAAGAAATTCAAACAAGACAAAACAATAATGACCTAGCAGGTTCGCGGCCTGCCCGAAGGACTGGCACTCCACGAGCGCCTTCGTATCGATAGGTCGGGCCTCAAAGGTCGGATAACCATCTTCGTCAAGAATATCCTTCCCCTCCCTCGTGGCCCACCGGGCGGGGAAGAAACTATCGACATATCGGCAGAGGGTACCATAAGCCTCCTCGTCTTCGGTGCTCATCCCACCCGCGGGCGTATGGTAGTGCCCATTGTCGTGCTCGTAGTGACGCGAGGTCCAATGCAAAGGAAATTTGGCCATACGCCCTAACACCGGGCGTCCCTGTCTTCTAGAAGAGCCTCCCCGTGATCATCGGTCACCACTGTTTCTTCCTCGTATACAGCCTCTAAACCCGTTTTGGTAACCGGTCGCACGACGTACCACTTATCCTTGAAACCCCGGACAGAATCCATATACATCCTGAACAGTGTCTTCGACTGTTTCAGGGAAACCCAATTGTGCCTACCTCCCCGGGACTGGCGCTGTAAATGGAAGACTCTGAAGAAGAGAGGTATGGTCGCCCCAATCCTTAGAAAGCGACACGTCAGCTCGAACGCCCGGATGAAAGCAATCGAGTTTGGGTGAAGCTGCGACGGGGCCAGCTCCAGATGACTGAAGACCCCGACCTGAAAATCGCTAAAGGGGAGCTCTAACCCAAGGTCCTTGAAAGCGATCTCATACATGGGGAACCCGTACTCGGGGAACTCCGAGCAAATCCGCGCGGTAAGAGTCGATCTGGTGACAACGAAGTTCTTCTGAAAACCGGGCTGACTACCGCCCTGCTCGATGATGGTATACGCACTTCGACTGTGTCGACTATAGGCAGAAGCAATCCCTCTGGGCTCGGCGCCCACCCATTCTAGCAGAGGATCGTCGATGGTATCGACCAAATTCACATTCTCCTCGGCACTTTGGTCTTCCACCTTAGTGCGCCCCGAGGAACACGATTCATCCGCCATTGTTACCTACAAAGCACAAGGAAACCGGTCAATTGGGGAGCAAATCCACACGCTCGCCATAACAGACGGGAAGAAGGGCACGACAAACCAAGTCACTCCACACACGACTAAAAAGTTGGTGTTTCGAACAAAAAGAGTAGAGTCACCTCCCCGACTCCCAGATACCACGACTAGTCTTCTTACAGATCGCTTAAATGGGCCAACATCCTGGCCACTCACGAATATGTCGACCTAGGCTATGAACATGGCGAGCGATATCATAAACCCTAAAACTAGAACTATGAATTTATCGGGCACTATCACGAATTAGGCGCCCTGAATCATGAAGATCCCGGGCAGCACTGCGAGTCAAATACCTAAACTATGCATTTATCGGGCGCAAACATGCGTTTGCCGGGCATAAACATGGATTTTCCGAGCCAAATACAAATCTACCGGGGCTAATCCCAGACGTATAGTCTCTAACGTATAAAACAATGGAAAATATCATATATCACAAAGGAAAAGCAAAGGGGACAAGACGCTTACTTGAAATCAGGAAAGAGGTGCGACGACGGAAAAGGGAATCAGCGACGGAGAGCACGACAGTCCTATGAATATCTGGAAAGAACAGCAGCAGCAGAGGCAGAGGAAGGAGGAGAAGCGCGAAGAGGAAAAACATGTTCTGGGGCCCAAGGACCCTATTTATAGTGATGACGTGGAATACAAAACGTCACCCCGGGGAACCACAGACTTCCCTCCTCGACGCATAGCTCCCCTAGGCAATGATGACCCTATCTTCAATAGGGTGGCGGCACGGTTCCCAAGAGATGCCTCGTGTGCTCAACAAACACAACCCGTCGAGAGTCCCCCGAGCACTCCTCGAAAGGAATTATCTCACGAGTGCGACACAGGGGAAACTCCTCGAGTAACCACGGGGAACTAAATCTCTTGTCCGGGCACGGGATCCCGTGACGGAGGCGAACTAAGATCAAGTTATGGCTCCTACTCCAGGAACCACGACTTGCGGGGCTCCTGTTCTGGACTGGGCCGGGCTGGCCCAAAAGCAAGGATGAAGGCCCAATCCAAACGGCCCTGCAGGGGGTCGCGCCGACCAAGAAGCTACAGCCGTATGCACGACATCCTCGACTTCATGCAGTCCAGCTCGACCTCAGCTCGAGCACTCCTCGTAGGGCAGACTATGACCATTACGCCATCGTCTGGATTCCGAAAAGACCGTGTCCCCGTCTGTCCGTACTTCTCGCAGAACACCCAGGAAGGAGACCACGTGCGGGTCCCCACTACACACGTAGAACCTGGCAGTTCCTTCATTGGGCCAAACCTGCCCGGCCCAATGAAGGGACCTTGGCCCAGCGCTGGGGGCTATAAATACCCTCTGTTCCCAGAGGGTCAGGTATTCATTCTTTTACCATACACACACTTTCTTGCTTGCTCGTACTGCCACTTACTTTAGCATCGGAGTGCCTTGCAGGTACCCCCCCCCCCATCTCGTTCAACTTCAACTCGGAGCCAGTCGTGACGGTCCAAGTCTGATCCGGTAAGATCAGTAATTAATTTTGGAGCCAAAATTAAAATTAAGTGGTGCACATGTCATCAAATGAAGGTGTATGATTGAATTTAATAATGAGGAGGTAGGGAAATTATTTTTGAGTGATCAAGAATATTCTTAAAAAAATGAAATTGGAGCCACATGTTACAAACTTGAAAATTTTCCTTTTTTTTTGTTGCCAATTTCGTCTTAGGAAATTGATTTCCACTATAGGAGAAATCGACTTCCACTGTAAAAATTTGAAATTCTGACGCAAAATGAATGAGGGAAATCGACTTTCGCATATGGAGAAATCGATTTCTACAGAGAAAAAGTAGCAAAAACTCTTTTGGTTGGATGCTTTGACTCGATACCTACAAAACACAAATATACAAAAGAAACAATATATATATATATATATATATATATATATATATATATATATATATATATATATATATATATATATATATATATATATATATATATTATATGTTAGTGAAATATAAAAAAAGTATAACATAATTAAACATTGTTCGGTGATCTCTTAAAGACAATTTTAAAGAAAGGAGAGAGTAGAAGAGATAATCAATTCATATTTGTGATCTTAATGCATTATGATGATATAAAATGATCAGAGATTTTAAGAGCAAAATTCGAAATATAACAAATAGAGACAAGCAATTCTTAATACAAGAAATCTTAGATATATTGCAGGTTCTCCAAATCAATTTCGAAGAAATTATCATATTATTTTTCAGAAACATGTTTAATTTTGAAAGTTTTGGATTAGATTTAACCCATTTTAGAGATGTGACAAAATTTAAAGGATGAATATAATAGAGTTTTCTACGATATTTAATTTTTTTTTATATTATGTTAAATAATATCTTAAATATTATTTAAGAAATAAGTATTTAAATAGTTAACAAATAAGTAGTACGTACAGAAAAACCGGACTGTTAAAAGCATCTGAGCGTAGAAGCTCAAAAATCATAATTGAAGTCCTCTTTTAATACAGAAACCATGGAATTTAGTGTCAAATAGTATCGTAGCCACGTCGTTTTATTAATTAAAAATTAAATGAACAAAAAAAAATTGTATAAAAAATAAAAACTACGTTAATAAATTAGTATAAAATAAAAAACCCTATATAAAATTATCCAACGGTGGAGGAACATTCATGCGCGGAAACACGGAGCCGCTCACACCCAAGACATTGGAATCTCACACCCTCCCATACAAACAAAAAACGTCACTGCTCTCTGAAACACACTCACGCTCCTTCACGTCTCTCTCCCCACTTGCAAACACTAACTTTAACTCAACCATAGTTTACTACCAACCACACCCTCGATTTTCTTCCCTTTATTTATATCCCAACTCCCCCTCAATTCGCATTCTCCGTTCCCCTATCATTATTCTTCTTAACCACGCTAGTTACTTACCTTTCTTCTCTGTTTATTTTGTTTCATGTGAGGGATAGAGATTTTACAAATACAAAAATAGTAACCATGAGTTGCAATGGCTGCCGCGTTCTTCGAAAGGGTTGCAGTGAGTCATGTATTTTGCGACCTTGTTTGCAGTGGATTGAAACTCCAGAAGCTCAAGGTCACGCCACTGTTTTCGTAGCCAAATTCTTCGGCCGCGCTGGTCTTATGAACTTCATTTCCAACGTCCCTGAACCACAAAGACCAGGTAAATAATAAATTCAATTCAATTTACTTTCCGTAGAATATTCTAAGGTAATAATAAAACAATGATTATTTGCTTTCTTCTCTTTTCAGCTTTGTTTCAGTCTTTACTATTTGAAGCGTGTGGAAGAACCGTTAATCCTGTAAACGGTGCCGTGGGACTTCTCTGGACTGGAAACTGGCACGTGTGTCAGGCGGCGGTTGAGACTGTTCTTCGCGGCGGCACGCTTAGGCCTTTACCGGAGATGATAGGTATGAACGCGCCTCCTATCGCGTCTGATGAAGCATCGGAGGCCGAAGACGCTGGGACAGACGCCATTTGGAGAACGCGAGATCCGAATCCAAATTTTCGGTTACCGACCTCGAGATCTAACAATAAGGTTTCTTCTGGTGTGAAACGCAGGCGATCGGAGGATTTTGTGAAGATTCCGGCGGCGATTAACCTTGAGCTACGATTAACGCCGAAAGGAGTGGACAACCGCCAGCCTGGATCGCCGTCGTTGACGTCGGAGGAATCCGTGACTACGACGGCGTGCTTGGAGACTGGGATCGGTGAACAGTGGACTCACGGTGGTGATAGGAAAGTTCTCAACCTTTTCATATGAGGACTCTCTTTGTTTGTGTTGCGTGTGTTACTCACGTGCGCGTTCCTTTGTTTTGCTTACAATACTCATTGTGGTGGAAAGGGATAAAACGGTTTTGTAGTTCGACGTGAGTTACCGGTTCAGGATTTCTCCGGAGAGAAAAATGATGGTTCGTCGGTGATCTTTGTTTTTTTACTGTCTTTTTTGTTTTTATTTTATTTTCTAGCAAATATGAGACATGTAAACCTGTAACCGTGGAATATTAATATTAAATTAAATGAAATAAAAATAAACAGTAGTTTTATTTATTTAATCATCACTTTTTATATTTAGTGAAACATTTATGAGTCTTTGAGTTGGATAAGCATTAAGCATTGAGTTGTTGAAATTGGATAGGTGGGTCTGAATGAACTCTGAGTTCCGCCACTACCCTACACCAACTATGTGTCTGTTTGGAATTTACCAACTAGGTGTGGCGATTTTGTTCAATTCATGGCCAATTTAATCACATGTTTTCTTCAAAATGAAGTTAAATGTTCTTTTGAGAAATATTCAAATCCTATGTAAAAGATAAAGTCCTAGAGTTTGAAAAAAAAAAATACGCCATCACCTTATAATTCTGATTTATATAAACGAACTCTACCGTAAAATCTAATTTTGATGCCATACTAAATTAAATTAATTTTTTTATCAAGTTACAATAGTGTCAGATTAAGTAAATTTATCTTAAATTTGAATAGAATTTTAGAGTTTGGAGTATGAGTTTTTATAGCTACTTTTTTCTTCTTCTTCATATTGAAAAGAAATTGATATCTAAAATGAGATTTTAGCTTTCAATATAATATACTTTTATATTGAATATCATTTTGTGTATAACTTCATAGATTAAAAAATTAAAAATATATATAATAAATATCAAAGCTCTCAGCATGATTCATAATATCGGATTTGTAAAATATATGAGGCTTGATTTGTTTTGAGTTTTTCTCAATATAATTCATTGAAGCTGGATTTATAAATTAAAATTATTAACACTTATTTATGCTCTTATATTTAATTAATTTTTGTGGCTGAAATTATAATTGTTTTAAACCTCATATTTGTCACCAAAAAAGTATCTCATATAATTAGAAAGGGCAACAAAATTTGTATTCGCAGGTATCCATTTGAATCCATTTTGAAATTGATAGAGAAATCTCGATTTGACTGAATTTAGATTCAAGTTTAAGTTTTCTTTAATTACAAAATATGGGTACAGGTCGGATAATGGAGACACTAGTACCCTTCATAAACTTGTCATGTTTGTTTCATTATGTACATTATTATTTATTTTTGATAATTTAGAATATTAAATATGTGAGAAATGTTTTGATCATTTGATTTGTAGATATTATTTAAAATATTTAAAATGTATCTATGAAATTTTTTAAGATTGTTTTATTTTATTTTATTATTTATAATGTAATTTGATTTTGAAAAAAATAAATATTTTTATTAAAAAAATTGATTTTACTAAATGGATGGTGGCAGAGACGGGTTTTGATTTTAATTTTCCATCCCTGTTTGTGTTTGGGGCGGGGAATAGAGATTGTTTGGGAATTTGGGTTTCAGGGAGGAAAAAACCGTCCCCAAACCGCCCCATTGACATGCCTACATATAATTTAAGTAATCAATTTCACCTAAGACTATGTTTGAATATTATAAAATACACATAGTTGAGTGGAATTGAGCGAAATGGAGTGGAACTGAACAAAGATGCCATTCTATTGTTTGAAATTTGACAAGTTGTTCATTCTGTTCAAATCGAAGGGGGAAGAAATATGGTGGTAACTGATAAAATGGAATGAAATTCATACCACTTCGTTATAATCCCTCCATCTGATTTTAAATAATCCAAACATTAAAATAGCATTCTATTTCATCTCATTCTGCTCCGTTCCATCTGATTCCATCAATCCAAACAATAAATAATAAGTTGTTTTTATTTGGTCTTTTATTTGGTATATATTAAATGAAACACTCACAATAATTAATGACAAATAATCAGTTATTCATATAATGTTAAATAATCAATTATTCATATAATGTTATTAATATTCAACTCAGTTACATTATGTAAGAACATCATATGTGCGAGATATTGGATTGAACTCTAGTATGGTCGAAGGATAGCTTCTTGGTTCGACAAAATCTTAACATGTCGTCGAAGTTTGTTCACATGTTGTAGTCGAAGTCGAAGTATGATAGGAGTGTTAGCATGTCTAATCGGGCCTGTTTATTAAACTCAATTACTTAGGTTAACTTGTTTCTTAAGTTAGCTTGTGTAATGGGTTTGTGTGTAAAAGTCCATTAGTTTAATGTATTAGTTTTCTTTTAAATAATATACTACTCTCTCATCATTGCAACACTGTAAATCTTGATTAGGGTGAGAGAGAGGTTATTTTTTATTCTGTAATAGTTGTCATCTTGTTTCAAAGATAAAGTACAAAATATCAGTTTATAACCAATTTCATTGTGTTCTTCTTGCTTCCCTATTTTTTATCCTTGTGGGTTTTTTTACCAATGAAGAAACCGATTATACTTTGTTATTCTTGCATCGTTTTCACAACAAATTGGTGTGATGAGCGTGGAAAATATGGTGTCAACGAAGTATGAGATTGAAAAGTTCACTGGGGTGAAGGATTTTGGTATGTGTCACTTGAAGATGAAAGCCCTACTGGTTCAACAAGGTTGTTTAGAAGCATTGAAGGGAGCCGCATTTGTGGACCCTACGTTAAAGGATTAAGAAAAAATGACTATGATAGAGAAATCCCACATCACCATCTTATTGAACCTTGGTGATAAGGTTCTATGACATGTTTCGAAGGAGACGACATCGTCGGGTTTATGGGTGAAACTCGGAAGTTTGTACATAACCAACTTGTTGGTCAATTGTCTCTACCTAAAGCAAGCTTTGTAGTCATTCAAGATGAGTGAAGACAAAATCCTGGCTGAGCAATTGGATATGTTCAACAAACTAATTATTTCTCTTGAAAATATTGATGTCAATATCGAGGATGAAGATCAAGCGTTGTTGTTGTTGTTGTGTGCTTTTCCCACATCACATGCTCACTTCAAATAAACTCTCTTGTATGGAAGAAAGTCCCTGAACTTTGAAGAAGTTCAATCATCCATGTATTATAAGGATTTGAAAGAATGAAAAAAGTCCAATCCACCTTTGACAGGTGAAGGTGTATCGATTAAGGCGAAATTCACAAAGAGAGATGGCAAGTTCGACAAGAAGAAGGGTAAAAGTCAGCAAAAGTCTTATAGTGGTGATGCATCAGGTATTTGATGTTATCACTGTAGGAAGGATGGTCATACAAAAAAAGTGTGTCCTGAACGCATGAAAGATCATGGAGGTAAGGATAATTGTAATGCAACTGTTGTTCAAGATGATTTTGGCTCATCTGATGATCTTGTGGTTTCAAGTAGCGACTCAAGTAAAGAGTGGATTATGGATTCATGTTGCACTTGGCACATGACTCTAAACAAAGACTTGTTCGAGGAACTATGTGATCAAGATGATGGATCTTTATTATTTGGAAACAACAAAGATTTCAAGGTTGCATGTATTAAATCTGTGAGATTCAAGCTCCATGATGAGTCAATAAGGTTGTTGACTGAAGTCAGTTATGTATCTGATTTGAAGAGAAATTTGATTTCTCTTGGTGAATTCGACAAGAAAGGATATATTTTCCAAGGAGAGAAAAGTATCCTAAGAGTCATGAAGGGGTCGAAGGAAGTATTGAGAGGCGTGAAGAAACAAGATTTGTATACCCTTGAGGTTAAAATTGTAAGTGGTTCTGCAAATGTTGCATTCAGGAAACCTTTATCGAAGATAGAAATTTGGCACATGAGATTAGGCCATGTTAGTGAAAGGGGTCTGATTGAACTGAGAAAAAAAATGCTTGGTGGAGACAAATTCGAAAAGTTGAAGTTTTGTGAACCCTGAGTACTTGGAAAATCTTGTAGAGTGAAGTTCAATAAAGGAAAACAAAGAACACATGGATCTCTTGATTACATCCATGCTGATCTTTGGGGGCCAACAAGGTGTCCATCATATTCAGAAGCAAGGTATTTTCTATCCATAGTTGATGAATATTCCAGAAAGTTATGGGTATTTATCCAGAAGACTAAGCATGAAACTTTTGAGAATTTCAAAAGTTGGAAGACTCTGGTCAAAAAACAGACTGGCAGAAAGTTCAAGAGGTTGAGAACCAACAATGACCTTAAATTTTGCAATGAGGCGTTTGACAGTTTTTGTGCAGCCTTTGGTATTGCAAGGAAAATAATTAGTGTAAGCTATGAGAAACAATGTTCTACAAAGATGTACATGATCAAAAGTTGAGTATCATCTTGTAGTGTTCTTCTTCATCTTCTTGTTGAGCAAGCTATGAGCAACAACTCCTTGCTTCTTCTGAGATCTCTCAAGATGTATGTGATTGAAAGTAGAATAACATCTTGTAGTGTTCTTTTTCTTTGATCAAGTTATGAGCAACAACTCCTTGCTTCTTCTGTTTCATTAAGATGCATATGATGATAGTTGGTTGGCATCTTGTTGAAATATTCTTTCTTTCTTTTCTCTCTTCTTAAGTGGTCTTCAGAATGTATAGAATTGCAACTTTAACATCTTCATAATCCAGTTCTTTCCTTCCATAGGATGAAGCTTGATGGCTAATGGAAAACAACTATTTCAACCGGCTTCCAGCAATTTATCTTTGAAGTTTGATCTTCTTTTATAGCCTTTGACAGAGAGAGACGTTGTGAGGATAAAACAAACTTTTTCTGCACAAACAGTTAGTTCCCATCAGATAGAATAAGGTGTAAGAGTTTAAATAGTATAAAATAATATTTTTGTATCCTGTCACTATTCAATCATAGCTTTCATCCTTTTCCTCTGAATAATATTTTTCTATTAAGCTTGTAAACAAAGATCCGTCCAGTAAAGAAAGATAGTTGTAAATCCAGTTGTTTGTTCT